TTCGGCGGCATCAACAGAGAGAGGGCACGCAAATACATACCCACAGTGCCACCCGAGTTTCTGTCGAAGCTCGAAGCTAGTGGCGCACGAAAGGGCCCGATGTTTAGTGAGAAGGACTGGGAGAATGAAGAGGTTTGAGGTGCAAACCTGCGGAGGGTGGATAAAGTATATGAGTAATGGGAATCAGTATTCGACGTTCAGGTGGCTGCCCCATCGGGCGCCGAGGCGCAGATACCCGCACAGCATCAGGGTATGGGTGAGAAGACGAGTAGCAAGTCCTTCTAGGACATGACACGATCGAGGGCACAAAGACCGCAATATGCATAGCGTTTGATTGATTCGATGGAACGTGAGAAGAGGCGGCCGCAGGTAGCACGGGCGATGCAAGGGCAAGCGGGCAGGGGCCACTGCGATATTGCGATAGTTCCCGGAGGGGAAATCTTGCAGACCAGCGCACTTCTCGTTCATGTTGGACTTTGGTCTGTTCCGAAGCGAAAGGCAACGCTCGAGAAGGAGAAATGGCGGCGCGATGGGAAGACGCCTGGTCTGCGACTTGGTTAAGGAGACGGATACTTTGGCTGGCAGATGCCCCGCCTATACGATGAGGAGATGGGAACAGCACACGCTGTGCTAACCAAGGGCAGAAGAGCTCGGCGGGGGGTTAGAGAATATTCAGTCTATTCCAGAAAAAAGTGACCCACGCGCCGTCTTCTCTTGGTGTCCACGGGCACCTTTGATTGATTTGACTCATGCTGAATTGCGGTGGCCCCGTCCCTCCGTGGCTTCGAAAGGTGGTTCCCACTTGCCCGTTTGCTCGTGGGCGTAGCGGGGAGAGGGAGAGAGGGGCAACAAGAGGGGAGGGGAGAAATGCAGGCACGCGGTATGGCGATAGTATTTCGTCCCCGAGTCAGAGTCAGTTTGACTTGAGCCACGTTGACGAGGCACAAGAGTCACAAGATGTCGAGATCCACGAGGAGCCGCGGCTCAGCAGTTTAGTCATTTCGCGTTTCGCTCCTCCTCGAGATTTGCTTGACGTGGATCGTCGTCCAGGGGCGAGAGGGGGGGGGGATGCAAAGCTACCTATGAATATTCAGTGCACACTTTTGCTAGACGGCGCGGTAGACCGTGGAACGCCTGGTGGGACGACCCAGTAACACGGAAAGGGGGGGCGAAAGAAGGTCATGGGAAGGGGTGTGGAGGACCCTGAAGTTTGAACTGGAGAAGGGGGGAGTTCATCAAGCCGAACCCAAATGCGGGATATCGAAGAAGTGAGGTACGGATATTTCTTGTACTGTTGTGTACCGGTATGTCTCGGATCCCTCCGACTAGAGCCATGGTATCCGTACCTACCTATGAAAGGGTGAGGGAACAATTGGTTGGCCCTGGCCGTGTGTCCTTCGGGGACTAGAGTGAGTGTGCCACGTCAGATCTTTGTTCCTGTGCCGCTGGCCTGGGCACTGCGCCGAACTGCACCGCCTATTCCTCTCGAGGAAAGCGGGCGGCTTTTCCAAAAGTCCAAGAGACGGGACGCAAACGCTGTTGGCGCTTGGCCTTGTATGTATTATCTCTGCGCCTACTCCTACCCTTCATAAGGGCCAAATACTCCGTATGGCATATCCATATGCATCACACCAACCGCGCTGATGCGTCGTGAGACAAAAGGGGGAACGACATGAACAGGGCTCACAGAATTCCCTTTGCTCCAATATGCTGTACCAAGGCGTGGCATGTTGATCCGTTGCAATTTGGAGTAATTTGTCCGGGATGGAGGAAGAAGAAGGGGGAGGGGAGGGGGAGAGAAGAAAACAAAATGACTTGAGCTGCCGAGACGATGTTGCGCATTCCTGGGCATGCTCCCGAATGAACGACTACTTTTCACTCACCTGACGGAGCATGGTGCCTGGGCGAGCCGAGAAAGATAAAAAATCGAAACGTTCGAAACCCCTCACTTCATTTCAGAATCCTCGTCGACAGCCTTTTCGATCCGTATTCATTCGAAGGTTTCAGCTCCACGTGAAAAGGGAGGGCATTTGGCCTTTATTTTACATGGGCATGTAAGTAGGGCAGGTGGAAGTCAACAAATTTGTTTTGGCCGACCAGCCACAATTCTGTTATCAGCTTTCGGCTGATATGCGTCGTTCATTAACCTTCCCTGCTCGTCTTAGTCTGACCCCTACAGTGTCTCTGAAGGACATGGAAGGCTGAGACAAAGGGTATTAGATTTTGTTCCAGACGAGCCGCATCAGAGGGCCTGTCGATCAAGGGATGACTTTAAGCTAGCTACATCGTGTGTTTACCGGCGATGATGTGCGGCACGGCTTCAGATCTGGCTTGAGGGCAACCTTGGGACCGGGAGCAAGGGAGACGGGAAGCTGCCCCATGTGACTGTGGCCGACTTGGATTGGTCGCCAGACGGGCAATGGCTGTCGACAAGTCGTAGATTGCAGCCTCCCGCATCGCTAAATCCATCAAAGGTCGACAAAGAGAACTGGTTGCAAACGGAGAGAGTCTGGGGTCAAGGGCTCGAGCGCGTTTGTCCGCATTGGATGTCGGTTGACGGAAGGTCTCTCCTCTCCGCTTTTTTCCCCTCCTTTCTTCTTCTTCTTCTTCTTCTTCTCTTGTTCTATATCGTAGATTAGCGGGCGTAGGAGAGATGTGTTTCCGATGGCCGGTGCATAATTAGTGACGGCTGCCGCCAACGTAGAGGGAGCTGGGACTGAGAGCTCCAGAGACGCTTGGCTCTTGGCCGTGACCAACCAGGCCCGAGGTAGGAGATAACGGAAGAGGGATATATCGTGCTGCTTCTTCACCTCGGACATGTGTGACGGCAATTTACCACTGCCTCAGCCGGCCGTTTTTGTGTCGCTGTGCAGAGATGGGGATGTAACTGTGTATCCGTAAGGCAGGCCGGAGATCAAACGGGCCAACCACCCAACAACCAACCCATGTTGCACCATCGTCGGTTGTTGCTGTGGTTGTCGCCCTGAGATTTGGCGGTCATGAAGAAACCAGCCATGCGGACGGAGCTCACCATGCAGCAGCGTGGGTCCGTCAATGATTGAATCGCAAGTAGCGGTATCTTCTGCAGTGACGAAGAGACGGAAAGAATGCTCACCGACTCAATGGCATACCCTGGCGACGAGGGTGAAGTAGGGCCCTTTCTTTCTCTCCCACTCTTTGGGTAGGGACGCAGGGACAGATGGCGGGAAACGGGGCCAGTGACCCGATCAAGAATCGTTTGCTGTCCAGGGTGACATGGATCGTTGGCGATGTGGCTGACTGACCATGTCTCTCTGCTTTCTTTTCCTCATCATCGTCGTCGTCGTTGCTTCTGTCCGCCTGTCTCGTTTTCCCATGCGAGCATCCATATCAAGTGAGTGCTGTGCCTGGCTACACTGTACTTGAATGTTTCCCCAGCCCACGGTCACGACTGGCAGACAACATGTGCCTCGAAGTCAAGGACGGCCTTTCCTCTCCAGATGACAAGTTCAGACGACGACACCCACTTCCATTGCCGGGTGTGTCGAAGCAGGGGAATCCACTCGGGCCGGCCAGCCCAGGCCACTGTCTGTCCAATAAGACAATTACTTGTGGTGGACCCACAGCCCGTCTGGGACGGAAAGCTGCCAGCATATGAAGGTGGGAACGTGCTAACCTCAGGCAAGTTCCGATTCCAGAAATGTACGTCCCCGAGACACCCTAGGCACCTGACCTTACCTTACCTAGATACTCTCGCTACGAGCGCGTTCCCCACCCCCGACCGCCTCCAACCTTACTACATTGTATGTACGTGTTGTGGACGTGTGTGGACTCGTGGTTCTGGTGCCGGGCCACTACCGCGATGTATTGCTGCCACCGCCGCTGCCACCGCTTCCTGCATTTGCAACCCGACCCTGCCGGGCTTGAGAACGACGGCCATCAGCCTGTCATCCGTGCCGTTTTCTATTCAGTCAGACGAAGACGGCAAGGACGGCTGGGTGTGTAGGAAATAGAGGGGTGACCATTGCGGAAGAAACAAGAGAAAAGTAAGGATGCCCGGCTCTCTCTCTCTATTTTCCAGCCCATGTATCCATACTTTCCATTGCCTTTGCCTCGTCCTGCTCCTCCTTCTTTGCTATTTCGCATCCGGACCTTGGATTTCCACATTCACCAGCTCAAGTCTACATACATCCTCCTCTACCTTCAAGAGGCTTTCTTTCCTGCACCTGGCATTCATACAGTCATCGCCTCCAAAGGCCCCCCCCTTCCCCAATAGACCGCCTTGGAGCACCCGATTCTAAACACTACCAATCTCATCCATCCGATCTCTCTCACCTCATAAAGGTAACCCTCCCTACCAACCGTCCCTTCACCTTCAGGCTCCAACGCAACGTTGAATAGTATTTTAACTTTTTTCTTGCTCAGTCTTACCTTGGCCTTGCTGCTCTTTTGCTATTCGGCACAGACTCGCCCAGGTGACTTACACGACGCTGGCACCACACCATCCTCTCATCATCATCTTTATCATCGTCGACCTTACATCCTGCTTCATCCTACCTGTTCGACCCTCGATCATCGCCGCACGTAATACGTCACGGCTTTTCTGGATCTGCCTCCGACGACCTCCTCTTGGGTTGTTGACAGAATTGCACTGCATCCCTCTCCATTCCTCACCTCGGGCTCTTCATCTTGTTTTCCCGATCTAGCTAGCGCCCATCTACCTAGTCCCCCGGGTCTTAATTTGGCACACCTGAAATCCAAGCTTACGGCCCTCTGCGCCCTCGACGGTGAGCCACTCACCCTCCACTTATATCGTCACCACACCCGCCTTGGCCGCTTCTTCAGTCCATCTTTGGGTCCTGTTGTGCTCCTACTGGCGTGCTGCCCATCACCGAGGAGCCTTCAGCCCGACGCCGGCCCCCAGATATCGCGGCTCGGCCTGCTACTGAGCAGTTGAGCACGGTCGGATCGGCCTCAGCAGCCCACTCGCGCCCCGGCCGGAGCACCCTGAATACCACGCTATGGCACCCCAAAAATTCCCCAGCATGCGCTTGAAGTCCCGGCCTACGCTCGTGCCCTTCAAGGACGATGCTAGCCTCATTGCTCTCCGCTACGAGAAGACGGTCCAGGCAGAGCCTCCCATCCCTATTCTTACACGAATTCCCCAAAGATCTCTCTCCGTCTCGACGCGCCGAACTTCCACCTCTGCATCATCGTCCTCCTTCTCGAGCCCGCCCTCCAGCCCTGCCGTTGTTGTTGTTGTTGCTCCTCCGCCCGCCATCGAACAACACCCTGCGTTCCGTTCCCGCGCCGCGGCTCGCAACACCACGGTCAACGATTGGAAGAGAGATTCTGGGCTGGCACCTACAACATCGTCTTCGGCCACCATCGCAGAGGAGGATTGCGAAGACGAAGAGAGTCGTGCATTCGCCAAGATTGCTGCACTGGATGCCAACACGATTGTGCAACAAACGGAACATCCTGTGACACCTTCCGTCTGCGAAGGTACTTCCATCGATGAGTTGGTTTTGAGCAAACAAATCTCTGGTCGTTGGTGCACGCCGTCAACCGATAACGAGGTCGCCGGCATGGATCATTGTCAAGATGCGCAGCTCGAAATTGCTGAACCACAAAAGTCTGGGAGTCTGAGCAGCAGCAACTCGTTGGTCGATTCTCCCGTCGAGTTGCGGGACAAGAGTCTCAGTGACCTATCACCTGCATCAGCGCCAACCATCCCCCAGTCTCGAAGCTCCTTTGCAGCCTCCGATAACTCGCCTAATTTCTCCCCTGTCAACCTCAACGAAGACTTGCATCTCCTGAGCAAGGATGCCGTTCACTTTTCTCCCATTTCAGTGTCCATCCCCACCGACAACCTCCTCGAAGATGATTTCCTGACCACCTTGTCCTTCTCCAATCGAGGCAGTCTCATGTTTGGTGGTCTTCGAGCGTTCCCCGCACAAACCACCGACGGGACAATGGATGGACAGGCGCAAACGGACAAAGCCCACGCGCCTCCGCCGACCCCTGCCGAAGCCCCTGCCGAAGCCCCCATCCTCCACATTCAATACGAGGAGCCGCCCCAGCCCACTGCCGTCAGCACCACTGAGACCAGCGCGAACCCCATGAGCGCCACTGACACGACCACGACCACGACCACGACCGAAGCAACGACGCAAGAGACGACGGCGACTGACACAACGACGGCAGAGACGACCGCAGAGTCGGCGTCGCAAGCCACGATGACGACCCCGAGCATCTGCGTCTTGTCCGCGGACGTGGAGATGGAATCTCGAAAGGTGAGATCGCTCTATGAATCCGGCGAAGGCCTCAGATGGGAAGACGGTGCTCAACCGTCGGATGTTGGCGAGCGCCTCAACTCGACCGCTGAAAATCCGACGGAGGAGGTCGAGAATGATCCGTATGGTTTCCTTTCTTTTGCCTGGACCGGCGCACAACCAATATGCTAACGTGTGTCCTGTCTGCAGCGTCGCCGAACTACAGCCTCCCGCTTGGGGCACTCCAAGATCTGGAAGTTCTTATTCCCAAAGACCCGAAACACGCAGCGAGTATGAGGTGGCCGGCGGTCTCGAAGACTGGGAAGACCTCGACGGATATGATATCGACCGTTACGGCTTCATCAGCCCACGCAAGCCAGAGAAGAGCAATGGCACATCCACGGACCTTGGGTCGTCGCAGTCAGCGCCCAGAAGGAAGCACGTCTTCTCCAAACGAGATGCTTTTGGTCTAGCCTTGCCATCCAGAGGACCCAGCCGCAAGGTGTCTGCTAGATCTCTCAACACCCAAGGATCGAAGGCTTCTGTTGCGTCTCGTCGGTCGACCCGATCGGCAATCAGACAAGCAGGAAACCTGCTCCCACACAACCGCGATCGACGATGGATGGACGAGGCTGGAGAGATGCTTTCGCTTTCCCTAGGAGATGAAGAGAAGGTGGAGAAGATCTCCGAGGCCATCAAAAAGAAGGAATGGGATAGATCTGAAAAGTGGCGTAAAATGGCCAAAATCGTCAAGAAGGGGAAAGACGGCGAAGGCATGGAGTTCGATTTCGATGTCAAGAACCAAAAACTCATTGATAGGACGTGGAAAGGCATTCCCGACCGATGGAGAGCCTCTGCCTGGTACTCGTTCATGGCAACCAGCGCCAGGGCTCACAAGGACTCACCATCTGAGGATTCCATCATCACCGACTTCCATCGGCTTCAGTGCAGAGGATCGCCGGACGATGTGCAGATTGACTTGGACGTCCCTCGCACCATCAGCAGGCACGTCATGTTCCGGAAGCGCTATCGAGGCGGTCAGCGTTTGTTGTTCCGGGTTTTGCACGCATTATCGCTCTACTTCCTGAATACTGGCTACGTCCAGGGCATGGCCTCGTTGGCGGCGACGCTGCTCTGCTACTTTGACGAGGAGAAGTGTTTCGTTATGCTTGTCCGCATGTGGCAATTACGGGGACTAGAGAAGCTGTATTGTCCCGGCTTTGATGGCCTGATGGCGGCTCTGAACGATTTTCAAACCAAGTGGCTGGACGGCAAGGACGTTGCCAAGAAGCTGGTAAGAGACACCCATATGCCTCTCGACCGAGGACGTCGGACTGACCTATTCTAGACTGAGCTCTGCATCGATCCTACAGCCTATGGTACCCGATGGTATCTGACACTATTCAACTTATCCATCCCCTTCGCGGCCCAGCTTCGCGTCTGGGATGTCTTCCTGCTCCTTGGAGAAAACCCTGGAGACTCTAACAAAGTGCCTGAATCACCCGTCACCATGAACGGCATTGATATTCTGCACTCTACCAGCGCGGCTTTGATTCATGCGCTGCGCGACGTTCTTCTTGACGCGGACTTTGAGAACGCCATGAAGGCATTGACCTCTTGGATTCCGGTCAAAGATGAGGACATATTGATGAAGGTGACACGGGCCGAGTGGAAGGCCGGACAGAAGAGGAAGTAGAGGGTCTTGCTTTTGATGCCTGCTTGAATGTCGGCTGGCTCGCTGCCACATTTCCTTTGTTTCACACCACGACCTCCGATTTATGGATATCCGTGCAAGGCGTTTATGGAGTCGATCATGTTGACTTCGACGCATGTCGTCGACCAATACCCCGGGATGGACTGCAAACCTCGTTTCTGCTGCTGCGGGGGATTTCATTTGTGCACTTGAAATGACCGAGATGCTGGAGAGAGCAACGTGGGTTGCGGGAAGCGCTAGCGAAAAGCGGTTCAAGAGGAATGGGACCACACACAGCACGGATTTTTCATATACCCTTTTATGCCATACAATAGCCTGGTGCCAACCTCATATAGAGCATCAAACCAATATATAATGTATTATTCGAGTAAACTTTAACCACGTCATCTGCCATGTCAAGTTGTCAAGGTCCTTGGGGGAAGCGGGCAACAACGATTCCGGTACCGCTACTGTTCTGTCTCGATAGCTATCTGCTGGGCCTTGCTGGGCCTCTTCGGCCTCGTTCTCGGTGATTCTACCCTTCCCTGTAGTATTGACGAGACGGTGGCAGTGAGGATGCGCTTGTCCACAGGTCGAAGGCTAAGAGCATGTAGTATTTCTCATGGCAGTCATGCTGTTCGTGTTTCTATCATGCGTGTACCGCAAGGCTAAATGCGTCCTTTTAGTCTTCATGTGTGGATTTTGCTACACAAGAAGATCTCTTCCGCAACATGGCCTTTGCTAAAGCTTTCGAGGGTTGCTTTCACTAGAGACGCTTTCCTTTTATAAAACGAGGTCTGTCACATTCCCTTCCTGTGCTATTCCAGGTGGTAACAATGTGTTCACCTTGCCTACACACTATTGAGTTGCAAAACATTGTTGTCTTTGACACTGCTCGGACGCCCCTTTTTCTTCACCGTTTCATCGTTGGGTTCTCTTGGAGGACGAAGAGGTGTGTGGTCTTTTCAGGTACAATTTGAAGCTGAGGTTTCTCTGACAAAACGTTTGTAACTACTGGGGTCTCGGGCGAGAGAGACAGATACAGGGAGGGGGAGAGAGAGAGAGAGAGAGAGAGAGAGAGAGAGAGAGAGAGAGAGAGAGAGGAACTTCAGCTTGGCTGATATGGATCACGATCAGTTGGCAAACATCAGCTGTGTGCAGCAAGAGGGTGACGTTTGCAAGGATAATTATAATCCATTTATGACAAAGTCTCGCCCTCCACGGGCAGTCGGAACGGAGGACGCCAAGACGGAATTCATGGACTTAGTGATAGCACCGTTGATCGGGCTTCAAGCTCGACTATCATGTCAGTGAAGAGGGCACCATTCAGACCTCGGTATTACAGTCTAGGATTCTAGACATTGCCACTACATGGCATGCCCTCCTCCAAAGCACTGTTCCCAGTCTCGTGGTATAACGAGTAACGACAAGCTGCCTGCCGGACGCGATCAATCGTCACCCACCGCAACCCACCACAACTCGCCACCACGGAAACACTACGATGCAAAAAATAATTGCAAAAAACATACAACACCAGGTATTCGCTGGTCGTCACCGACCCAACTACTAATCCGGCCCTCATTAGCTTATCTATGGGAGAGCGGACGGGATCCCGAGTTTTCCAATGGGTATGGTCGTATGTGACAGAACGAGCCGTGGAAGGAAGCTATAGCCTACCAGTGCGCGGCACAAACACACACCGTGAGCTTCGCCAAGACCGGAACAAGAGCCCCCCCACAGGCGCGTCATTGGTATTCCTACATCTCTTTCATGGTCTATCTTTTTTGAAAAACGCAGGTAGGCAAATTTGCCTGTAGGCTTGCGCAATGATGTGCCTAGCATGTGCTCCCGGCCAGTACAGATGAAGTGTGGCTTACACGGTTCTAGGGGGTGTTTAGTGTCGACTTCTACTAACTTTGAACATTAGCAGGCCGCGGTGGGAACTTTGTCAAATACACGAGAGCCTCGAGAGACAAGTATTTTCAGGTACCTGCCCGTCATTCCGTATGATTTACGTTCTCCCTCATCTCCCGGGGCTGTTGGAAGGCTTAGGTGGTGGGCAATGGCTCAACGGACAACAAGCAATGCTATAAGAGCGGTACAAGGCCATGAGGATATGGCAGGCACATGAGTGGGAAACATTTTCAATGGGCCGAGGGTATGAAGTTGAATGCCGTTGTCGGCTGTATACCTACGGATTGAACTTCTTCCATCTACATACTGGCCCGGGTGACCCGTGATCACAGCGCCCGACTTGCGGCAGGAGGAGGCGCGAAGCGTGTTCGTCGAGTCCTTATTACTCCCAATGCCACACAATTACTCCAGAAATCAGTATGGTCTCCAATATATGCTTGGAGAGGCATTGTATCGATCCCCCCGGTCGCCGACATGCCATTGACAGGCGGCCTTGACCCTGGCCACCCTTCTCCTGTCCTCCCAGGGTCCCCGTGCCATCGAACAATGTCACCTCAATGTCCCAGACGATGATGCAGCAATCTCGTCGAATGTCCGTCCGTTCACAGGTACATTTCGCAAACCAGTGCCGAGCAAGGTCCCAACATCGAGCCTGGGAGATTTGTCCTGGTCCCGTGTGACCCCCCCACCGGGGTGGAAGACGTTTGCTACTTTGCAACTTTCCCGTTCTGGTCTGGGTGTGCTCAGATCACCGTTGCAACCTCCAAAGTATGCTGAATACCTGCTTTCCTGGCATCGGGTAACATCTGACAGCCGGGAGCATTTAAAAAAACCGGAATTCTCTCCCTTGTGTCCTTGACGAGATTGCACCGTCCAGCTCCGCTAACGGGAAAGATCAGCATCGGTCTCCGTCCCGGGAGAAGACCCCATATGCCCCGAGAGCAGGTTTTTGTGCCCGGGCGGCACCCTGACAGGTCGATTCAACATGCAAAGCTGGATTCGACGGGAGGTCTCTCTCTTTTTTTTTTTTTTTTTTTTTTTTAAACTTTTTTTCATAAATTTTTTTTTATAGATTTGCTTTGCTGGTGGGCTGCTGGTTACCTTGCGGGATTGTCTTGATCATGCCGAAATGTCGATGGACCCTGCATACTCATCCCGCGTAGTACGTCAACAACGATGCTCCATCATCGGGGCTGAAATGAGACCGGCCATAGGCGCTATCGGAGCGTGGCACCAAGAGCGAACTTCAAATAGCTGCAGGAATTCGGTCGTGATTGTCGGACCGAAGCACCATCGGACCTCCTTCGCAACTTCCACATGATCATTCTGGAACGCTCAAAAGGTGGCTCTGAATCGAGCCATTCAATTGGAACATCCGAACAGGGAGAAAAGAACCACAAGATGCCCAGGGCAGGCTGTCGGTTTTCTGTGCCACCTTTTTGAGAACATGTTAATGTTGTACGGTAGCTAGCGGCTTATACCGTCACACGGTAACAGACTTTGCTACTAAGCGCCGACTGAACAGGCGCCCGAAGCGCACAACCAAAGAGACAGAAGCCGGCCCTCTGAATCTCTCACAACGGCCCCGTCCCGGGGCCCCCCCCCGCCTAACCCCCACAACACTGTGAATCCACATCCGTGCGCGCGCCATCACCACCGGACAGCCCTATATCAGGCTGGCTATTAAGACACACTCCCGTATTAGTCCTCCTGGAATAACCGAGAAATAGCTCAGCTGATTCAACGTCGACAAAGAGATAAGGGGGGGGGGGGGTTCTATGAGGAAAAGTTTGGCCTGCCATCCCATCATACCCTTCATCCGGCCATGGTTCGCCTCGTACCACCGCATCCATTCTCGGCGTACCTCGATTTACCTAATTACCGGTACTCGCACGTGCAGACAAACAAGCATTTTTTAAGGAGGACATCCTTCTCAGCTCTCCGACACCCATGCCTGCCTGTTGTACAATAATCTCATTCAACAGACAATTCCGCAAATAGCCCGAACCCAAGCAACCTCCAGAAACCCAAGCGCAAGGGGGGGAAAGGCCCGAGGTGAGATCGGGCATGGCGAACAGGGAATTAATTGCAGTGACAAGAACGTCCCATCTCATCCATGGCTACATTCATGACCAGGACGTAGTACTGCCCAGGAACCGGTCAAGTCCCAATCAGGAAAGCACGCCAATGCCCCATGCCCAGCCAAAACGCCTACGGATACTTCTCAAAGGTCTCGATCCCAGACAATGCCCACATTCCCTCCCGTCAAGAGGAGGACGGATAGCGCCCTGGCTGCCAGGTCAACCAAGAGGAAAGACACGACGAAACGAGCTACGGACAATTAATTAGACTTGCGTCAAAGTCAGGCGGCGGCGGCCATTCTTGCTGCCGCCGAGCAGCTGTCGTGCCTCTCCAGTGACGACGACGCCCCTCCTCCAAGTCCCCTTCCGGACGGACGGTGGGAGGGGACATGGAATGAAGCGAATACCTGCCATTGTTTCGGGTTGAATCAGAACCTGCCTGCGTATTGCCCCCGCCCCAATGCCATTGAGCATGCAGGCCGGAGAGATATACAGCCAACCACCAAAATACTTGCCCAAGTTTTTCAACGTGACCGAGAAACGCTCTGAATTTACCCACGTCAACGAACGCGGTTGAGCCGCCCACGCACCGCAACAACCCCCCGCCTCCCAGTCAACCCGGTTTCGAGACGCACTGTCCTCAACCCGACCCGCGCGCTGTGCCCCAAGCCAATAACCAAACCAAATCGTCCCATCCAGGGCTTTGCATGTGCGTGTGTAGCCATCGCCTTGGCCAGATCGGTAGCAGCAACCCACCCACAACCCGAACCCAACGTTGGAAGGGGCAAAAACTCTCCTTTACCGACGTTGACGCAACCTCGAGGTCCGGGCGCACGGCCGGGCATTGACGGCGGCGGCGGCGGCGGCGGGCGGGAGGGCGGCGGCAGCGGACGGGGCAACCGGTAGCCCCACCGGGACACCTGTGAGGGGAAAAATAAAATAGAGGGTAAAAAAAGGCCAAAAAAAAAAAGGGACAAGCCAAGAATTCCCCACCTCGTCACCATCGATGAGGGGGATGCTAATCTCCCGCCCCAAGCTTAATCCAGCTTTGCTATCCCATCGTCATCCCTTCTCAGCGTAGTCTCCCCCCACCCAACTCTCGAAGCTTGGCCCGCGCCGGGTCGGCTCAACCCTACATCGACCGAGGTAGGTAATGCAACGTCCGAAGCGATGAGGGACTTTCCCACTCTTCCTTCCCATTCTCCTCATCTCTGCCATATCCGGCCAGCGGCAAGGGGGTTTCATGCCAGGAAATGGCGAGAGAGGAGGGGTAAAAGAAGACTTGGTGCAGGCGTCATCTAATTTACCCTGGTTCCCCGGCCCCCTTCCCAAATCACCCCTCCGAGCCTTCCCACACCCCCAACGCGCAATAATCAAACAAGCGAGATAAGGTATCAATCTTCAGGGGGTTGAAACACGTCTGTCCGTCTCTGCAATAATGCGTCTTGTCTTGTTTTTTGGTCTTTTCTGCAGGGTATCATGATACATGTAAGATTGCCCAAAAGAAGCCAGCCCTAGATTTCAAGAACCAACAAGAGTGAAGATATTGCCAAAGCCAACCCCGTCCATTTCGAAAACTTGTCCAAATCGAGAAGTTGAAAAATAAAAAAAAAACTCCAACCTGAGTCTCAATGCTCTCACCAGCCCCTTGGTGAGTCTCACCTCGCAGATAAATTTTGGCCGGCCGTTGATGATTCACCACACCCGACAACTATAGGTACACCCAAACAAAAAATGCAGTGTTGACAGTACCTTACACATCAATACACCGAGTGTGGTAGAAAAGAAAAGCAGAGGATTCGAATCCATGAAAAACCAGAGGCTCGTCGGCTGTGGATGTACCCGCCCGCCTAAAAGAAGGAGAAAAAGAATCGAAGAATCGAAGTAGTGCCGTGACCCGTGCATGCCTTTGGAAGAAGTGAAGAATGCGTGCCTCCAGCTCCAGGTCATCTGGAATGGCATCAGCTGGAGAAATCTAAGCCTCTCTCTCTTTGAAATCGAAATCATCGACGGCAATCCAAAGCCGTTGAGTGCTCTCACTGCCCTTTCCATCCCCACGTCGTTCTGTCACAAAGGTCGGAAGAGGCCGAGAGTCGTAGCCGAATATAAAAAGAATTTGTGGAGGAATGAATCCAATGGAAGCGAAAAATTCGGAGGAAAATGTCGTACTCGTGCATCTCGTTTCGCGGAGTTTGGCCGTGATGGTATGGCTGAAACAAGTCGTAAAATTGGCCCGAGCCAAATCTCAATCAGTGCTGCCTGTCGCACGGCTGCTATACCTGCGACCCCACGCGTCCGTCCCGTCCGCTCACCCCTCACAACGGGGATCGTCGTCTTTCCTCGCCCTGCCCTTGATAAGCCTCCGTTGGCGTCGGACCATACTGAGCTGCGCGCGATGGCTCTTCGGATAACAAGGATGATACCGAGTGTCCGCCAACACCCCTCGGTGCTTGTTGCTGTGGTTGAGCAGATGTCGAACTGGCGCTTCCATATTCCGGGGCCGTGCTGAAGCTTGCGACCTGCGGAGACATGCCTCGAGGCGTCCCAAAACTCTCACCTCGGCCACGACCCGTCGGCCGATACGACGAAAGATCGCTACGTTGTCGTGTATGTCCCCGTCTTCGCCCCGGCGGGGGATTCTCGAGGGTTGATCCACCGTGGAAAGGAGGCGACCGCAGACGTTGATGCTGACTTGGCGGTGGTGGGGCTGGCTGCGGGCCTGTGGCCTTGCGCTTGTTCCTAGGAGACTCCCCTAACGGCCACACCAGCCAAGGTTAGCCTACAGCGACTCTCTCTTTCTTTTGGTTTTGCTGGACGCACCGGAGGGTGTCGCAGGCTGGGTAGAGCCACCTCCGGCTTGGGATGTCGGCGGGTGCCAGTGGTGAAAGTAGATGGACGGGCTCGGCTGGGCCTCTTGCTGAGACTGCACAGACTGCGAAGCTGCGTGCTGGTGACTCTGCAGTGCTGACGGGCCTGGTGGACCAGAATGGGGGACGTTGGTGTTGAGGCTGGGCAGATTGCCAGATCCGAGCGGCCGGGAAACCGAACCCGTCGAGGACAGAGTCGTTGCCCGTCCCCGCTGGGGAGAGCCCGGGTAGGCGGGGAACCCGTGAGGCCCGGGGGCGGAGCTCGGCGTTGAAGGGACGCCCGCATATTGACCATAAGGCTGGGACTGAGAATCGCGGCGATGCTCGGGTGAAACAGGACCTTGGGAGGGAAGCAGCTGGGCATGTTGCGGCTGTCCTTGCTGGGCGAGAAACTGCTGCGCCCACTCCAAAGCGGCTGGAGGAACACCGCCTCCCATTCCAGCAAAGACGAGAGGAACAATGGGCGGAGGGATTCCGCCGTTTAAAGAGGTCCGCAGCATGTCGGCCTCGATACGCCGTTGCTCGAGGCGCAGAGTCTCCTGCCTCGTCTTCTCCTCCTCCTGTCTCCTGCGCTCTTCCTCGGTCTTTGCTGCCAGCCAGCTTCTCATGGAATCCTCGGCGCCTTGCCACTGCGGCGGAGGCCCGGGCAGCTGGCCCATCAGGTGGCCATGGCTAGATTGAGCTTGACTGATGGATTGAGGCGCCGGGGGCGGTGGCGGAGGAGGAGCCGAGCTTGGGTGAGGCGGCTGGGGCGGCAAAGTCATGGCCGCCGGGGGAGGCAGGCCACGATGATGTGCCGACATAGGCTGGCCAACTGGACTGTGACTGCGGGGAATGGACGGCAGCAGCTTGTGCGAAGGGTGATCTTGGTAAGCCAAGGGAGGCGAGGGTCGGGATGTTGAGGGTGGAGTAGGTAGGTCATGGACGGACTTGTAGCCGTAGTGTGTTGGCTGCTTGACTGTGAGCATGGTCATGTATACTCATGTGCTCCAAGTGATTCAAAAGTTGTTCAACGTAAAATCAGGCAACATGGGTGGATGATTTGTATTTCGTGTTGATGCGTGTTTTTCGGGTTGTAGTGTATGGATTCGTGTCGAGTCAAGAAAGTGAAGCTGAAGCTGCTGAAGAAGAAGAAGGAGCAGCTGGAGGAGAAGAAACCGAGACAAAGGGGAGTTTGAAGGAAGGTCAAGAAGTTGAAAAGTGAGAAAAAAGCTGCTGGCTGGCCAGGCAAGATGGGTGGAAGGAAGACAGGCGAAGAAAGGTTGAAGAAAAACCCACGGCGAGAGAGGTGAGGTAAGGTAGATAGGAAAGAACAAATGGAGGTATGGGGGGGTGCAGGTGGTGGAAATAACCTTTTTTACAGGCGCGAAGCTGGAGGGCAGCCAGCTCCAAGTTGGGAAAGAGACTTGGAAGGGAAAGGGACAGACACCACGCCTGGACACATCACGCCCAAGAGGGGGGGGGTACGTATCTTTCTCAGACTCTGACCCAGCAGCTTTCCAAAAGGACGAGGGACCCAGAGAACCAGACCCAGACCCAGACCCAGACCCGGGCCCTAGGGCCTAGAGAGAGAATGAGAGGTAACTCCGTGCCCAGCTGGGACTAGTAAGGCACGGCAACTTGCAAGGAACAGACTAGCAGCGTTGCCGTCGTCGGTCATAGGTGTGTTGTGAGTGAACGGTGAGCCAAGGTAGGGAAAGGAAAGGTATCCGTACCGTGGGCTCCTCGCCCTCATCCTCGTCCTCGTTTCTCCAAGATGGGCTTTACTGTGTCCATCCGTATCGGGATTCGTAATACAGACCACGGGCGGGGCATACGGTGATGAACCCAACTCCACGGACGGGCCCAGCCTCATTTACCTATGGAGACGTTGTTAGTGCCCACTTCGTAAGGCACGGGTGGGAGGGCTGAGAGTGTTGTTTCTGGGTTGGCACAGTTGGCTCAGCACAGCAAGCAAAGTTCATAGGGAACAACTCGCATCGTGAGCTCGAGGTACGGATACATGTAGAGAGAGATGCTCGAGGCAGACACAGCCGGGCGACCTAGAACTTGGTACTTACCCCAAGGTCCCATACGGTAGGCATCCGGAGCCTCGAGACCTCCACGGGCAGGATATGGGGTGAATCAAAGCGTTCGATGCTGACGATATGCCGATGCATCGCTGGAGCAGTAACAGCAGCCGAGGCGTAACTGTGGGTATTGTAATATGTGGTTTCTGGGAGGAGAACGGATCATGGAGGGTGGGCAGGCACTGAACGGTTTCTGTTCTTTGGGAACCCGCGGGCCCACCAGCGGGAAGGGTGACGGGGGTGTGTCCTGTAAAAGTGTGGTGCGCGAGTGTCTGTATATGGAAATCTGTACGGAGTATCTATGCGCCTACACCTATCCCTCATAAGGGCCTGATACTCCGTATGTATCTCTCCCTCTTTCGTTATTTCGTTATTTCCCTTTCCCAAGGAACCCCGGGCGGCGGGAGGGCAGGTGCGGATACTGATGCAGATGCAGATGCTGGATGGAGACATGGGAAAGGAGATGAACCACTCCAGCAAGGCCCGACTGATTTGATGAGGCGTGCAGGAGGGATGTCCAGGTCCATCCAAGGCCATCGAGGAGGGAGCCAGTCTTCAACTGCCCTGGCAAATTTGAACGGCGAACCGCAAGCACCGCAAGGTCAGTGATAAGAGAAGCAAAGGGCAGAGAGAGGCAAGGGAAACTGGCCCGGCCGTTTACGGACAGTTCAGGATAAGGCTCGGTGCGGAATGGATGGTGGTAGAGGTGCGTTGCCCGCGGTGGAGAATGACAACGAGCCTGGTTTATTTCATTTACAAAATGCGCGTATCAGAAGAGATGACACATGGAGGGGGATGAGCACAGGGGGGTGCGTGTTGTTTGTGTCCAAGCCCAGCCCAGTCCAGTCCGCGGTCCCAACCCACAGATCAAGTGGCGCGAGGCGGGGGGGGGGGGGGGGGGGGGGGCCCGGGGGGGGGCGGGGTGTTTTTGTGCGTACCACCCCCCCCCCGCCCCCGCTCCCCCCACCCCCAGACCAAGGGGGCCGGGGCGGGGGGGGGGGGGGTAGCTGCACGCCCACGCCCACATGGACGCCTCCCACTCCCGGAACCCAGCAACGGGGTGGGGGTGAAGGAAGAGGGTGTGAACCCGGGAATTGTGGCGAAGGCAGCTAGTCAGCATTGGGCCAAGATGGGGAAATCTCACGCTGGCGTCGACTCAGACTTGAAGATGAACTGACGGCCACCGGAGGCGAACGAGGAATGAGGAACGAGGGATGTGTGATGGAGATGTGGACGTGGGTGTGATGTCTGTGGATGCCAGATGCCAGATGCTGGAGTGTTAGGATGCCGGATGATGGATGCTGCAGCAAAGACGGTTGGGAATCGGAGGTTGGGGGCGAGAAGTGATGTAAGAAATCTACCGATCACTCTCCCGGAAGAGGCTGCATGGTTGGGTTGGGAGTCAAGGAGGACGACGTCTTCGGCCCGGCTTTTGCCTTTTCTTGTCCACATGCTGTTGTACGGATATATTATGGTGTTTTGTACCAATATCGCTGCGTATTCGTGCGACAGTGAGCTAGAAGCATCAACCCATCCGCCGACACAACTCTGCTGCACCGTGACCCAACATCTATGATCTGTGTAAAGAGTAGCCGCATACCTACAGTACTGGGCTCTCATACAAGCCAAAAAGCACGAGCGGGGAATGGACTGCGGTCGCGGTCGAAGTGAGACGAGAACATGAAGAGACCAGTGTCCGGTGGCAAGGCGCAAGCCACCCTCACTGACAGAACACGCACGACACGCACGACACGCAAGACAATGCATAAGCAACGCTACGTATGGCTAGCTATCAAGGAGGGTTGGCCAACCGGCCCAAGTGAGGGTAGGGCAAGATGAGCCGGGACATGAGAGGGTCGACAATGGCCTTGATGTCGACGTCCATTTGCTGCACGCTGACGCTGCCACCGCCGATGAGGCTGCTGTAGCTGGCCCCCTCTCTTCGCGCAAGGTGCTTCTTGCTCGCATCGCACACAGTCATCTTTGTCCCTGGTCTGTCGAGAATTCTCCGCGGCCTTATGCTTGGCATGCAGCTTTGTGACCTGATTGTATATAGAGACTCCGCCAGGAGCTGCTGTCGGTGGGTAAGCATTGTAGCTTTGCCTAGCTTCCGAAAGTGGATAGGTGCTTGAGGGGTGTCGTCGTCGGGAAACCGTGTGCGCGTATACGTGCCGCCGTGCTCTGTGTTTGTGCAGTTCAACATCCGTAGCCAGCAGGGATGGCCTGGCACGCATCTTGGAGGCAGCAGACGAATACAGAAGAAGTATGTGAGTAGAGTTCACCCAAAGACGCAGGGTCGATCCTGATGACCAGTCGACGACACCATCGCCTGGAAGAAAGAAGGGAAGAAAGAGGAGAAGCAGCAAAAGCGCGGGGAAAATGAAGATAGGAAAACGAGGTTGATATCAGGAAACTCGGGGACAATACAACCAATCGCTTTTACCGCAGCCCATGATTGAGGCTCCATCTTGACTCTCGAGTCTCAAGAGCGATTTACCTCTCATACTGTCTCGCTACCGACACCTCCGAGATGTAGCTGGGCGGGTTTATTACCGCTCAACGGCTCGGAAGGCGAGTTCGCTCGCAAACCTATCGTTTAAGGGACACTGATTGGACGCTACTGCTGCAGATGCTAATGGGACGCTGCGCGGTTTCGTGCTTCACTAACCAAGGTGGCAGGCAAGAACAAGGATATGTTTCCAGGCTGTGCTGAGGTTTTATCTCGCCCGTCTTGTCTCGTCTGGCGGATTGTTGGTGCCTGTCTGTATATGGAAGTCGCATCGTGGAGGAAATATAACCTTTTGAGGTTTTCCAGGCCATATAATTTGCTTTACTCGGTCTCTTTTGCTTTCTCGCACCAACAGCCCACAGACCTCATCCAACCGTCATCGGACCAGACGACATCGTTGTATCCAAGAAGCACGGTAAAGCACCTGTACCTGGACGGTTGAATCGTGTTGAGCGATGGTTGGAATGTCGAGCTCAACTGTCAGGTCCCTGGCCTGGCTATATTCGATACAGAACTCTCTCTACTACGACTGCCTTTCCGCGTCTGCCTCCTGCAATCGTCATCCTTGGCCGTGTAAGCAAAGAGTTTGGCCCAAAAGAAAGAACGAGGCACTGATGCTGTAACCTTTGGTAAACATGTTCGAGCTCTGCAGCAGCGCAACAAGTCGGATGGGAATGGGTATCCGCAATCGAAGCGGAATTCAAAAGAGGTGGAAAGGGCCAGCCACAGTTAATGGTCTGCTGCGCAGAGCTGAAAGAAAGGGTGTGAAGATGACAAAAAGGGAGAGGGGGCGGGGTGGGGGGGTGTTGTTGCTGTTGTTGTTAAACTGGTAAACGGGCTGTCGTTGTTGGTGTGAGAGAAGTCCAACCTGGGAGAACGAACGAGCTGGGGATGGGTAGGCAGGCACGCAGGAAGACAACAGGGGGGGTTGCCTTGTTACACGCCCTAGTGAGGTACGTAATTGAGAAAGGACGTACCGAGCTCTCCAGGGGTGGGCGGCGTGTGCGTCCGAAGGATTCTGGATGCTCGGGAGATACCTGGACACGTTACATCGGTACGTATTAGTGGCCCTGTGCCATCGCAGTGCCCTACGTACCAAGCTGCCTGGGGAGGTAAGGTCGGCCCTCACCAGTGTACGGATACTCAGCTGAAATCTACCATGAAGCTTGACTATTGGGAGGAAGAGCCCAAGTCGAGGAAAGCCGTGCTTCTTAGGACTGCCAACTCTGTTCTGTTATGCCAAGGTACTGATAGCTGGAGTATGCTATAGACAAAGAGCAGTTACTTACGAAATCGGCCCTGATTGAAATGCGTGTCTTGACGTTGGTTTTGGCAGCCTGTCAGCGAGGCCGTCGCCCAAATGCCGTTGAAAGTCATCCGGCTAGTACAGACAAGACGGATGGAACTACCAGGCGTTTAACGCATTTGATCAACCGCTGAGATGAGTCGACGTCATTTTTTGTAGGCGTCCGCAGACCGAGTATATAGGTAAACACGTGTGACAATGGCAATGCGTAAGGGCATGGTAAAGTCATGCTGTCAACTTTGATTTGAGTTCATACACAAACAACGTCGAGGAGTATTTCCAAAGCACACAACTGTAGTCGTCGGCCTAAGGGCTGCGGTTCGGGGTATTCCATTGTCTGAGATCTTGGGCCCGCTCCAGATGGCGGGATGCGTGAGGTCAAGTTCAACATGTCAAAATGCCAATGTCCAGAAGCACTTTGATGTGGAATCGGAGAACTTTCCCAGGGATCGATATCCAGCAAGCCATTCTACGTTGAGCAAGCCTTCTCGACCAGGCAATCTGGTGGCACAATCCCTCCACATTCCGGCGGCGTGGCTGATACCCGAGGGGGGGAGGGGGGGTCAATCAAGACAAGGCGAACCGCGAGGTTGAGATCGATAAACTACCTTGGTCTGTGGGCGCTTTCGTGGCGCTGTCTCTTGCTCTCTTGCTGCTTGGAAACCTGTCAATGGAGGTCGTTCGGAAGAGCCAGGCTGCCGGGGCCTGATGCTTTGCTGGCCGAGATGTCATGGAGAGACCCCAATCCTGAACGGCCCGCTCCAGAATAATCCGGTGGTAGCGGCGGGAATCCTAACTGGTTCAACGGCGCCAGGTCCCAACGGCCGCAGCTCGGGTGCAAGTTCTTGTATCGTCTGCCGCCCACCAGCGCTCGTCTCACCCTCTGTAGTCTGCGGCAGGCAAGGAAAGGCCTCTTCCTCCACTCCTGTACCGCCTTGCCCCGATCAAGCCATGCGTACATTTGCTATCCGTACATTGGCTTTGAAAAAGGACTGCACCCGGAGATGGTGCAGGTCTGCCATCGCGTTGTCTACGTGCAGAGCAAGCAGCGGAAGCAAGTACTCGGATGTACGTATAGATAGTCATAGCTTGTTTTGATACTGGTTTAGCTACAGGGGACTGACCGGAACGGGAATGGTGGTCGAACGCACCGAGAACCGAGAAGATTGCAAGCGTTATGAGCGCGGTCCACATTGGCAACTGTGCGCAGATGAGGTAAAACTTCAAAGTGATCAATCCAAATTGCCCAACGGTCAAGGCACCATTATCAGGCAATGTCCGGCTAGGCGGCGAAGTGACGAACCGCAATCTGGGCCTACTCGAATCTGTGCTGCCGTCGCCTGCGGTAGTGTCATGGCTTCAACCAATGGTGGTAGGCGGCAGAGTTCTTGCTGTCCATACGCAGTAGAGCCGCAGCAGGCGATGGCGACCTTGACGTGGGCCTGGCCTCGTTGCCTCGGTCATCCATCACCTTAGCCCTGCCACTCAAGCAAGGTGAGTCTGAGGCGCTATCAGCTGGCAAGCTAGGTGCCACCGACATGCGGGATCAGTCACGCAGAAGTCTATCGCGGGATTCGACATGGAGGAAGAAGTGATAAGTGACCAGGAGCCGGGGTTGAGGTTGTTGCAGGTTGAATTTACATCGTTCTGTGCATTGTGTAGATGAGATGCTCGGCTCGACATCTTGTTCGTAGGTAGTAGAAAGGGACAGCAGCGAGCACTCACATCAGGGAACTATTACCCCAGGGATTGGATGGCGTAAGGTTACACCCGGCAAGATTCCTGAGAGGCGGTTGCTGGATATCATTCTGTCAACCGAATATGGAATGGTCGATCAGCACCGCAAGAGGGGTTATGCCGACAGGCTCATCCTGGATTCCCTGGCTGACTGCTCACGCTGCTTCAACTCGGCTCACTTACAGAGTGGTTCAGAGACGGGTTTTGGCCGCGTCATTGGATGCAACTCCCAGCCAGCAGCGGCGCAGTTGCCAAAAGAGGATATAAACTCTCTTCAGTAGTTTCTCGTTACGCAGCATGGAGGAAGGCGGTGGCGGCCAAGATTTCGGAGCATTCGCCCATGTAGAAGCGAGCGGTACCCTGTACACCCAGGGTCGGTGCCCGGTGGTACAGAACTCGCTCGACTGTACTGTGGCTTACTTCCATTGAGACTCGAGGGGCCGGTCAGCTGTAAAAATAGCCTTTGGCGTTGCACTGGGTACGAGAAATGGTGTTCTCGCCATGCCCGTTGCACCGTTTTGATGGACTCGACATGGTATCAGAATATATCCCGTGAATAGCAATGCATAGCGACAAGAAACAGACAATAAACACGAAGACAAGGAAGAGGGGAAAACAAACCTGAGCGTGATAGGGAATGTGTGTGTGTGCGTGTGTACTCTGTGCGCAGTAGAAAGCCGGTAGGGTCGCCGTGGCTGTGGGTGTTGTTGATTTCTTTTTTGGTGGTGGGGTTTGGTGTGCCTCTCTTCGTGGCGGACTGAGGGACTGGGCTAGACCGAAATCTGGAATCCAGATTCTCGACTTTTGGACCCAGCAAATCTCTTTGCACTTGCAAATGCGATGGCACCCGGACGATCCCAGATCGCCTTCATCGAATGTTGGCCAATCAGCAGGGGCGGCACTTTCTCCTCTGAGAAGTTTGTGGCAGGCGCGGCCCCGTCTCTCATTTGGCTCTAGGCTTCTTCTGGATGAGGATGGAGACCAATCTGCATGTTCTCGCGGTACGTATCGCGTCGAGGGTGTGAGAACAGGGGAGATGCGTGGATGTATCTCGCTCCTTCTTCACAACCACGACGTTTTCCTGAAAACCCCACCCCTGCTCATCCACCCAGTCGGAATGAGCTCTGAGGGAAAGACATTGGGAAGCTAAAAGCTTGCGGAGCTGGACGACAGGAGTACCCCTGTCGAGACTATGAATCTGAAACACGGTGACGAGGAAACAGGGGTCATCCATTTCACCCACGTTGACCACCACTGCAGTCACAACTGACCTTACGACTCACCATCACCAAGTACATAGGAGCGGGAGAAGGAAGGAGGATGACCGAAAAAAAAAAAAGAAATGAAAATGAAAAAGGAAATGACGCTCAACTTTATGAGAGATAGGAAGCAGCAATTACCAAACAACTACCGCTCATGGAACCAACTTTAATTTTCCGGAATTGCATACCTAGGCTCGGCCAGAACGCGTTGGAATTGTCCAATCCGTCGCCAGGCGCAATCCGGTTCACTCCCTCGATTTGAGGTTCCTTTCATCCCGTTGCAGCTATTCAACCTCACTACGACAGACCTTTCCCAGCCCTCGTCCAAGCATCCTGCAAAACATATACTATCTATCCACTCTGTATCCGTACCCACTCGTCAATCCGCCATTTTCGTTGCCAGGGACGTCGTCTCTTACGGACGTACGCATGTATTACTCCGTATCATTCAGACCCCAACGCCCACAAACGCTCTCCACCGCTGTAAATGGCCGCGGACGACCTGGCGTTGACGTGCTGGGCGACCGCCACCTTGGCATAATCTATACTGGTAGTCTATCCATACGATTACTTCCTCTTTCTCTCGTCCGAAACCAAAACAGGTTGAAGCTGCTCGGAACGTGCATGACAAGCTTCGGCCGACGCCACGGATCTCAACACTAATTTTGCGGCTCTGGGGCATGTCTCTTTGCTGGCTTGGGGCTCGATCCAACAGTTGGCCTTCATCTTCGACGCCAGCTCAGTTTGTCGAGACTGATGCATGCCACCAACCACCATCACTCGGCCTTCCATCTCTTACCGAAATCCATCATGTCGCCTCTTCCGGCCAGCGTGAAGCCGCGCCTTTGTTGATGCATTTGCAAGCCCGCCAACAGCGACACCGCAGCGCACGCGAGATGCTCTGTCAATTTCATCTGGGAATTGTGCGACGGTGTTGCACTTCCGTGATGGCCCACGGAACACCGAGGCATGGCCGCTGCCCCCATCCTCGGGGCCGGACAACGCCACATCCCTGCCCGTTCAGTTCACCCAACCGCTGCACGAATCCCTAAATCACAATTTCCCCAATGCCGTCAGCCCTGGGCCCGTCAGACCCTGCTAGGCCGCTGCTGGATACATCCACACCCTCCTCAGCCTTCCACTGACCAATTTGGTGGCGGTTTCACTTCACCGTTCTCTTCAAGTGCTCACGAGGGAGTTGGGAGGCTCTCGAACTCGGATATGAAAAAGTACCCTCTAAGGCACAGCTATATTACGGTGTATTCGGTTCGGAGTCCGCCATGCTCAACATCAACAAACTGGCATCGCGAACATACGGAATGACGCACCAGGGCTTGAGATTCCTCCTTCGACTGCACTGAACCTACCGTTTGCCACCCCGCCGCTATCAGAGGAACTTTCTCAGTTACCGCAACCCAGGGGCTCAACTGAAGACTTTGCGGCGACGATTATGAAATCGCGGACTTCCGGGGAGAACAATTGCGGAGTGAACGGTGCGCCAATTGCCCACGACCGCGAGCGCATGTCCCGCTGCACCAGCCAAGCATGATTTCAGCATGTGACGATTTGCAGCGCAGAACTGCTTATCTGCATTCTGTGTCGATGTTCACCAACGGGACACGCAAAGCGCATTCCTCAGCTGCAACCGACAATTTGCTTGGTTTCGTCCAACCGAAAGCTTTGTCCAGAGTAGTGCCCATGCCTACGACTCCCGCAGCCTGCTAACTTCAGTATTTATTGGTCCCAAGGCTGGGGTCTGATCCAGCTCGGTTCCCGCCGGTAAGGTGAAAGTCGAGACCGACCTGGCATTGTTCTCCAACGATTTCAGCCCTTCTAAATCTCGGCG